CCATGGATGCAATGGAGCTGGTGGCGACATTTTCTGATTGGCTTGGCATTGTATGCATGATTTTACCTTGTTTTCCAGGTCTAAATCCATTCTTGGCCACCAGACATAGGATCTTGCCAGACTTTTCATCCTAGACACCCCTGGATGTGCCTCGTGCACTTCCTCCATGATCTGTGAGCGGCCTGGGGGAGGTACGACCACCCTTGTCCCCCAGAAAATGCAACCATCTTGTAAGCTCAGTTCATTTTTCCTTTTTACATAAGGCCTCAACTCCTCACTTTCTACCACTACGGGCCAGCCTTGTAGCAGGTAAGTTTTTACCTTGGCCATTACAGGGTCTCGCTCGGTCCACTGCTTGATCTGCACTGCAGTCACTGGTGTTTCCGACAACTTCTCTAATAAAAAAATAGTCTCTGGAGGCACGCAAGTCGTGACTGGTGTCTCGGGCAATGGCAGGCGACTGAGAGCGTCCGCATTCGCATTGTCCTTTCCTGCCCTGTACACTATGGTGTATTGGTAGGCTGACAACTTTAGTGCCCAACGTTGGATTCGGGCGGAGGCGAGGGGTGGGATGCAACGCGTCTCACCAAACAGACTCATCAGTGGCTTATGGTCTGTATGGATTGTGAAAGGACGGCCATAGAGGTACTGATGAAAGCGCTTAACTGCAAATACGACTGCCAGACCTTCCTTTTCTAACTGTGAGTACCCCTTTTCTGCCGCTGTCAACGTGCGTGAAGCATAGCCAATAGGCTTCTCAGAGCCATCTCCCATAACGTGGGACAGCACTGCCCCTACCCCGTACGGCGAGGCATCACATGAGAGGGTCACCTCTTTGTCTGGATCAAAATGCACCAGCAGTTTTGCCGAATGGAGCAGTTCTTTCACCTTATTGAAAGCTTTCTCTTGTTCATCACACCACTGCCACTTTGTGTCATTGTGCAGTAGTTTGTACAGCGGAGCCAAGACCTTTGAGAGGTCCTGCAGGAATTTGCCGTAGTAATTCACCATCCCCAGAAATGATCTGAGTTCCGTGACATTCTTGGGACTCGGTGCTTCTTTAACAGCTCTCACTTTGTCTTCCACTGGGCAGATGCCCTCAGCTGTTATCCTATGTCCCAGGTAAGTAACACTCGGGACCATGAACACACATTTCTCCCTTTTCAATCTCAGCCCGGCCTCTGAGAGCCTCTGAAGCACCTGCTCCAGATTCCGGAGATGCTCAGCTTCTGTAACACCTGTTATGAGCAGATCGTCCAGGTAGCATGTTACGTGTGGGATGCCTTGCAACAGACTGTCCATTGTCCTTTGAAAAATGGCAGGGCTGGACGCCACTCCAAACACTAGGCGGTTGTACTTAAACAATCCTTTGTGTGTGTTAATGGTGACAAACTCTTTGGACTCCTCATCTAACAACAGCTGCTGATAAGCGTGGCTCATGTCCAATTTTGTAAATGACTTTCCCCCTGCTAGTGTTGCAAACAGGTCATCCACCCGTGGCAACGGATACTCCTCCAGCTTTGAGACCTGGTTCACGGTGAGTTTATAGTCCCCACATATGCGCACTGTCTTGTCTGGTTTCATAACAGGGACAATGGGAGCTGCCCACCTGGAGAACTGGACTGGCTCAATGACGCCCAGCGCCTGTAAGCGCTCCAGCTCCTCCTCCACTTTCTGTTTCATGGCATAGGGTACCACTCTGGGCTTATAGAAACGTGGCGTGGCATTGGGGTCAATGTGCAGTTTAACTGTCATCCCCTTGCACGTGCCTAGCTCATCTCTGAACACCTCACTGTACTGCTGTAAAATGTCCTCTGTTGTGCGCATGTACTTCACCTCATGCCAGTTTATCTTAATTTTTCTGAGCCAGTCCCGGCCCAAAAGACTGGGGCCACTACCCTGGGCTACCACTAGTCTCCCCTCAGCCCTCTGATCACTCGCTGCAATGCTCACCTTCAGCACTCCTAGGTGAGGTATGGGCTGGCCAGTGTACGTCCGTAGCTTGAGCTTTGAGGGAGTCAGTGGCGGTGGCTTGGTCCTCCATGTTCTCCTGTAGGTCTCCTCGCTGATGACCGACACTGTTGCTCCTGAATCAATCTCAAACTTGATCTCTTTTCCTTGAACAGTGACTGTGGCATAATATGGCATAGGCGGTACCTCCTCAGTTTCCACTGCAAACATGTCAATAGAACACAAAACCTCTTCTTTTTCCTCCTCTACGTAATGAGTGGCAGTCTGATTTTGCTTTGCCTTCACCTTTTTAGGGTTATTTTTATTTTTAGCACCTCTGCACTTCTTTTCTAAATGTCCTTTTTTCTTACAGCCATGGCAGACTGCATCCTTGAATTTGCATTCGTTTGCATAGTGAGCTCCACCACACCGAAAACATTCAACTGGCCTGCCATATTTTGGCCCGTCTTTCTTTACATATTGCACTGCTACCGGCGCTCCAGTATGCCCTTTTTGTATGTCTCTGGCATTGCTAGCAGCCATTTCCATGCCCTGGGAAATCTCTAGTGCCTTTTTGTAAGTTAATATTGGTGATGTCTCACTCAGCAAGCGACGCTGAATTGCATCATCATTAATGCCGCATACAAGTCGATCACGCAGCATGTCGTCTAACACTGCTCCAAATTCACAGTGCTCTGATAGCTGTCGAAGCTCTGCTACGAAGTTAGCTACTGATTTACCTGCCTTTCTGAAGTGACTGTGGAACTTGAAACGCTGGACAATTACCGATGGTTTCGGGTTGTGGTGGTCTCCTACGAGTTTTACCAAGTTTGCATATGGAATTTCACCTGGCTTCTGTGGCGTAGCTAAGTTTCTTATCAGCTTATAAGTCTTTGCTCCACACACGCTCAGGAGAATGGAGCGCTTCCTAGCCTCCTCAGTTATTCCGTTAGCATCGAAAAAGTGTCCCAACCTTTCCTCGTACTCAGTCCAATCCTCGTCTCCCTCCACATATTCACCGACTGCCCCAAACGTCGCCATGCTCCCCACAGATCGTTGTACTTGCCCGCGTACTGTTGGACTGACGACCGGCTCTCTGTCGCTCTCACCGAACAACTTCAGGTCCCCCGCGCCGTTGTGTCGTTCCACTCCACCGCTGTCTCCAGTTCACCTCGTCGCCAAAAATATGTGGTAACTTGGGCAATAAGAACCACTGACACAAGATGTCGAGTTTGCACTTTTATCCAATTCCAAAATTCCAACATACAATATTTTTCCTGGGAGCTAACTGACACCGGCACCTGCAGCTATCTTCTTCTCTGCCCGGAAGTAGCGAACACACTTCCTGTTTCTTCAGGTCCGGAGGCGACACCTTGTGGTACTTATAAAACAGTGGCAACATATACTGAATACAACAGCAATGTTAGAAGGAGAGCCGTGGCCATAACTCCAGTTTACTTACTTGTAACAAAAACTTAATTAAAACAAGATTTCACAACTTCACCTTCTGTGTCTCAGTTGTTTTCTGTATCACTGGGTCTCCAAAACTCCTGCAATTTTCCTGGTTCTCTGCTGCTTTGCTGTTGCCAGGCTCCAGTGTATTCTGATAAGCTGCAAGTCTGAAACCTGATGCCTTTAGCCTCCAAGATATCTTTAATTTTGGTGTAAGCTTTGCTTTTCTGTACCACCTACACTGGGTAGTCGTAATCAAAGAATATGGTTGTGTTATTTAGTTTAATCCATTTCTGCTATGCCTTTTTCAGAATCATCTCTCAGAAAGTTGACAATTATGGATCGTGGGTCAGGTCTGGTCTCCTTGTATTCACTCGGTGTGCCCGTTGCATCAGTAGGCTGATCCCCTCAGGTAATATTAGTTCCCTATGTAGTAGTTCCTCAATAAAGCGTGCCCTCCAAGACCCCAAATGTTCTCACATTATTTCTACGAGAGCTACCTTGCAAGTCGGTTACCTTTTCTTGTAACTTCTTCTGTTCTCGAAGCACTGCCAACAGCGCTTCTTTAGCTTCCATGTTAAATGTCTCAAGCTCCTCAATACGTGCCTGAGCATTGCTGAAGTTTTTTTTTGTCTTCTTGTAGTCACGGCTTACTTGTAGTTTCTCTTTAACATATACCATGAAATTGGCAAATTCCTGTCTGAAGTTAGTGTTGAGTTCTACTTTGAAAACCACTGGGTCGTTTTTCATAAGTTTCCTTCTCTCTTTAGTGATATCTGCTAAATATTTATGTAGCGTCTGCTGTGGGGCTCTTGTCCCTCTGCCATCTTTGGCATCCGCGTTTGTTTCCATTACGAGTTTAGGCTCACTCTTCTGTGTTTTCAGATTCCTTCGGCTACTCTGCTGTCTGCCCCTTTTCATTCCTTGTTTGAGTAAAATTTTGAATTTGGTTTGTTGTTAGTTGGAGCTGTTATTATTATTATTATTATTAGTCTAGCGGAGCTTCTATCTACATTGCCATCTATTTCACTGCTCAACCAGAAGTCGATGTTTAAAACCCTTGAACATTGAATAAATATAGTTTGTGGGAATCTATCATGGCAAAAAATGATCTGGTTCATATCAGCCATTTGTCTTTCTCTTTGTAGAAATTCTCTGCCCACTGTCGTGTAAGCCCTAGGTAATGGTTTGGCTGATTAGGTCGGTAATCCAAGTACAAACGTGTTGCCGCCTTCTTGGGTACAGCTTTCTCAATCTGTGTACCGTCGTGCCACTGGTTAAAAGAAGTAATGGTGACAATTTCTGGTCTGACAGATAGTGTTGCCTGGAGGGAGGTCTCATAGTAACGTCCATTTACCCGATCCCTGGTGTTATGTCTGTTCCATGGTCGGACAGCTGTGTCTACATATCCAGGACCCACACTTGGGACGAAGAGCAGGTTATTTGCATCACAGAAGCCCTTGATAGCTTTCCAGTTCTGGTGGGAGGAGCCAAAAGAAAAACCATTGGAGGCAAAGTATGTGTACATGCCGTCAAACCCGCCAGTTAGAATGTCATGTTTATGGCGTTCCTCAACTATCAGGGCCATGAAAATGGCATCGTAAGGTGTTCCTCTGATGCTGTGTGAGCCCTTAGCAGTCAGCAGTTTAGCCCAGGACTCTGGTGGTGTCAGGTAGGAGTCATAGACATAAAAGAGAGGAAGAATTTGCCCGGTGTTGGACCTGTATCTGTAGAAAGCACCATGTTTTCCATACCTGTGGAAAAACAAAAGAGAAGTTCCAGCTTTTCTGTGCAACTGTCTATGCTACAAGCGGCCGTGCTTGAATTAAAAATCTTCAGTTGTTTTGTACTTCCATAGTGATTCCATGTGCTGTTAAACTCAAGAGAGAAACACCTTAGAAAACAGAAAATTGAAAAAAAAAAAATTAGTTCCATTAGAGTTCACATCTGATGAAGGAAGAAAAGTGGTGATATTTTCAGACGATATTTTCGAAGAGGGGGGGGCAGAGCGTGCAGACACGGCATATTGTCCAAGCTGTAAATGTTTTACAAGAGACTGCCAAATAAGGGTGAAGGAGGTAAAGGGGGGCATTATTTTTAATTCTCACTATCGTTTTTGCTGTCGGCGATTCAATCTGCTTGAAGCAGCTGTAGCAACACCCCACAGTGCGCCCCCTCACACACAAATTCTCTACAAACAAATTGACTACAAACAATTTCAAACTAATTAAGTAGAATTGGATGATTTTCCATGGTACAACTAAAGATGTCTCTTTGCACACTAATGTGCTATGCCATAGTGGTTGGAATCACTGCGCTTAATTTACCTTAGGTATGTGTGCTAGCATGAAGGTTTGTGAGTATATGTTTTAATACTTGTACTACACAGCAAAGGGAAAATAATCTGGTATAGTGAATTGTGGATAAGAGGAAAAGGCTCACTTTTCGGTGATGTACTTGATATTGTCATGCAGAGTCTGCTCCGTCCGTCCTTTGTATAGTTGCATGTGAAAGGTAACCTGTGCACAAAAAAAAAAAAAAAACTCTGAAATCATATAGATATCATCACAATGAACAGTAAAGAAATTGATTTTTATCTTTTGGAATTATACTCAACAGAGCCACTGATTGTCATCATCCAACACTTTGATTCGTTTTGATTCCAGTTATTACAATTTAAATTCACTCCTACAGTTAGAACCTATAATATGTGTTCAGTAGTATTCCTTTCTTATTATGTCTCTCTCTAACTGTAGCCTTTTGAGTTCCTTTATAATGTAAATCTTTTTTCACAGGCCAACAACAAAACAATAAAAACAGGAGCAGGAGCAGCACAGATATGACTACTACTTAGCCCAGGAGTCTAACATAATGTGAAGTTGACACATCAAACAACTTGAACATCTGTGATGCTGAGGACATCGTGAAACTTCTCAAACCTATAAAGACTACCACCTTATGTGATAATGATTGTGTTGTATCAATAGATTAATAAAGTTTATGTGCCTGGTTATAGTCTTGCACATGATAGTACTGTTGTAAAAAACATCTTGGCCATATTTTAGTTGTGAAATTCCATTTTTATATAACAACATGTAACAACTGGTATTTACTGTACACATGCTTTCAATTGCCACTGGTTCAATAGAGTAATGGAAAGGGGGGAAAACATACAGTGATCCCTCTCCTATCGCGGTAGTTGCGTTCCAAGACCCACCACGAAAATGTATTACTAAAGTAGTTGTTATATTATTTACGTATATATTTACCGTTTACGAATCTTCCCCACACTGTTATCAACCCACCCTAGACTGTATTACCCTTTCCCACACAATTATATACACAATAGAGTTGTATAATGGAAAGACATACATATTACATAAATAAATTAAATACAAGACGCGCGGAGGTTGGTGCTCAGCAGCAGGAGGGAGAGCAGGGGAGTGGCGACAGACACAGGTGAGCACAATTCGAGTAATCAAGCCTCTCCTTATATTAGTAGAAGCCTGGACCAAAGAGAGTGGAGAGTGAACAGAGGAGTCCATACTGGCCAAGACTGCAGGAGCACATGCTATTGTAAAGAAAAATAAAGGCTGCTAACAGATGCGCGGAGGTTGGTGCTCAGCAGCAGGAGGGAGAGCAGGGGAGTGGCGACAGACACAGGTGAGCACAATTCGAGTAATCAAGCCTCTCCTTATATTAGTAGAAGCCTGGACCACAGAGAGAGGAGAGTGAACAGAATTAGGGTAAACTTTCACCAAACACAGGAACACAAACTTTACAGAAACGCAGTGGTGGACAGACACGGGGAGATGCTGAGAGATGCTACAATGCATAAGCATCAGTGTGAGGAACAAGACAACATGCTCAATGCTGTGTTTGATCTTTAGATAAACAAAGTGATGTCTTTTAGTTTATTTTTTGCTATATTTTTGCTGTTTAATTTTTTTAGGTTAGAAAATGTTTTATCACAAGAATAATAAATACATTTTTTACTGTAAAATACCACAATGTACCGTAATTGTTGCAAGATTGGAACAAAGACAAAAAATCAGCGATTTACTGTACTGAGGGAGCGAAAGGAGAACCGCGATATAGAGAGGGACTATCTATCGGCTGATAGATTACCTTGATGTTATGTCTGTGGGCCGCGTCCATAACAGCAGAAATCAGGTCTTCAGTGGGTTCCCCGTGGTCATCTGGTACCCCAGGAGGATACCAGGACAAAACTAGCACTCCTGAAAAAGAACAGAGTGGGCAAGGTGAAGGGGAAAGTTTTAGCTTAATTCAGTGGTTCCCAAACTTTCTGGTCTGCGCCTGCCCTTAGTTTTGAAAAATGTTTTTGTGCCCTCCACTCAAAACACTCACTGGTGTACAGTGTTCTTTACCTGCGGCAGCTTCTACTATCTGGGCCATGTGTGACTCAAGAACCTCTGGATCTCTAGAGCTGTAGGGTCCCAGCTCTGGGTAAAAACTTGAGGCAATGTCTTCAGGGGGCGTGTGCCCGCCGTGGACATGGCTCGCCGCGATCTTTGGGTCCCAGTGTGGCACCAGCACATGGTCCCAGTGAATGTACTTGTCGTCTACGCTGGGGGAGCCGTACCAAAGGTAGTAGAAGATGTGCACGTCGTAAAATATCTTCTTGTCGCCATTCGACGTGCTAATGTGCATCTTTGTGTTGCCAAAACTGCCTCCCGAAAAGTAGTGAGCCTGCGACACCACCGCCTCTCTGACGTCCAACCGCCGTTTGGTAAAGTCACTGCTGGGGGCGACGTTCGAGAAGCCATGGCTGGGTCTTAGCGTCCGTAGGCCCATCATTGTGCCCAAGACAAAAAGCGTGAAGAGGAAAAGAGCGGCCAGAGGTTTTCTGCGGAGCCGCGTCATGCTGCTTCGCTATCGTTGATGCTTCGCTTTGTTAACGCCGAACACACGCTACAAACCACATCATCTTAATTTACAGGTGCAGGGAGATCAGCGGATGCGCAGACCCCCGATGGACAGTTAGGCCACAGCCATGGTGCATTTCTTCTCCCTCTATCGTTTCACCTTAATAAAATAAAATGGAAGCAATCAGTCCTTCATTCCATTCTTTTGAATCACCGAGTATTGTATCCAAAAACTGGAACCACTCAAGAAAAAACAATCCTCGTTTTAGAGTGATATTACTCCACAGGACGATTTTTGTCTTCTTAACTTTCCGTCTCATCATCTTCATCACACACGTCTAACAATCGCATCTCATCTGTGTAAACGTTAGCGGTCAGTCGACGTTATTGTTGTTTACTACATCGTGACAGTTCCGGAGTACATATAGATCTAGATAAAATAATACCCAAGCATTTGTGATTCTCCGGGGAACTGATATATAATTAAGAATGCGAACATCAGCTGTGTCCTCTCAGTTGCCACACAGCTCAGAAATCCAGCACCATACAGAAATGTAGCGAATACAAATTAAAATCCATCTCTTATTTACAGACATTCAGAATTTTATGCTAAATGTACAGACACTAAAAACCAGTAAATCTTTAATTGAATGTGTTAATTATACACGATAAAGAGAGAATTGTCAATTTTTAATGATCACTCGAATTCTTTCTGTTCCAAAGCTTGATAAACTTGCAACCGAAATTCAATTGATATTTTTTAACCGAAATTTCATTGATATTTTCACTTCAAAAACTATTTCAAACAAAAAAACTGTTCAGATTTAGATTTATTACCTGCACACCTCACTGTCCTTCAAGTCAATGCAGTACAGTACCGAAGTTCGTCTGTAAGGAGAATATCGTTTGCATTCTAGAACAATTTGTGTCGAGATACACCTCCGTGTCTCGTCCTTTCGCTGACATACTGTATGTGGTTTGCCTTATACTGAAAGGTCCTAGCGGAAGTCCTCGCGTGAATCTATCGCTGCGCGCTGCAGCTCGCACTCATGTCTGACAATACTGCTCTGAAGGGAACGTGTACGGAGGTAATGGTTGGCGATGAACCTGCGTTAACAGAGTAAGAGGTAAGGGAGCCTGACAGCATGATATGTTTGAGCGTGTGATGATCCGGTTCTGCAACGCATTAAGCACTATTGTCTCGGTCGCGGATTCGCCGCATGGCCCGCGCGCGCGCGTGTACATGTGTGCGTATTTTTGGGCTACAATTTCATGATGACACATACATGCACGCACACGCAGGACAATGAAGTGTCACGGATATGTCTGCGTCCTTACAACTCCACCTTCGACATTATGATCATGTCCTCATATATATATATATATATATATATATATATATATATATATATATATACATACACATATATATATAGTGTCAGACAAGAGACAGTAGGTCTTTGTTAGCTGTCAACGTTGGAGGCTAAGTCAAGCTAAGTCAACCGCTTCTAGTTTATTAGCATGCAACCTTTCTGGTTTTCCTGTCGCCTTACAGGAAGTTTCTAATTTCGTGAGAAAGACGTGATTATTTTCACAAACTGTTACTTTTTTCAGTTTAATAATCAGTCAGTTTACCGACACTAGCACTCGTGTTTTCTTCACTTTTTTTTAGCTAAGATACAAAATGTGTTCCTGTTATTATGACCGTATGTGGTGTTCAATATACATCATTGTCATGTGAAATTAAAACGTTATTTTTATTTAATTTGGATTATTACACATTCATGTCTTGGTCAAAGAAGAAGAGGAGGGCGTTTGGTTAGGAGAAAAAGAGGAAGAATAGAAGTGTTGATCTGAATTTTGGAACTCTGAATGTAGGTACAATGACAGGGAAAAGTAGAGAACTAGCTGATGTGATGGAGAGAAGAAGAGTAGACATTTTGTGTGTGCAGGAGACCAGGTGGAAGCGCAGCAAGGCTAGAAACATTGGAAGAGGCTACAAGCTGTTTTATCATGGTTCAGATGAGAAGCGAAATGGAGTAGGGGTGATCCTAAAGGAAGAATATGTAAGAAATGTGGTAGAGGAGAAACGAGAGTCAGACAGGTTGATGTGTGTGAAGGTAGAAATAGAAGGAGTGATGATAAATGTTATTAGTGGTTATGCCCCACTGGGGGGCTGTGAGTTAGAAGAAAAGGAGAAGTTCTGGAAGGAGCTGGATTGGATGATAGAGAGTATCCCCAGGGAAGAGAGAGTGGTGATTGGAGCAGACCTTAATGGTCATGTAGGGGAAGGGAACAGAGGAGATGAGGATGTGATAGGTAGGTTTGGTGTTAGGGAGAGAAACTTGGAAGGACAGGCAGTGGTAGATTTTCGTGAAGAGAGTGAGTGAAGACAGAGCAGAAGATCAAGTTTGTGGAAACTAAGGAA